TGAATGGAGTTAGTGGTGATGAAAGGTAAGAGAGAATTAGGCTCAACTGGTTAAATTCATTAGTCATGAAGAAAATACAAACGTTCTCCGCAACAATAATCACAGGTTTTATGAGTAAGGAAAAAGAATTTTGGATAAGAGACAAAGAAACAAGAGTAGTAGAGCGAATGGAGTTAGTGGTGATGAAAGGTAAGAGAGAATTAGGTTCCGTTTGATAAAACTGAATTTGAATTTTGAAGTCTGAATTCTGAAATCTGAATACTGAAACAATTAATTTGCTAAATTTTAAGCACTGAAAAGAAATATATGAATTTCTGAATTTTAATGCTAAATCTATTTATACTGTTTGATAAACATTTATAACTGAATGCTTAATAAGTTAAATTTGATAATTTTGCCCTTATATCTTTTCATCCAAAAAATAAATAGAACCTATGATTTAATTATCTAAAAATGTTAGGTATGAAAATGACAATATTTATTTTTAAATCAAATTAATATATTTATATTATATGAGGAGTATAGAGAAGAAGTGAAAGTCATTCAAAAGCGAAAAAAGAGAAATAGAAAATCATTAGATAGAGAATATTATGTTGTTTAATTATATAAGAATTTTGAACATAATTAATAAAAAATGATAGATTTGGTAGATAAGATAAGGTAGTTGAAGTAATTCTATTGATTCTTATCAGAATTAAACATTCAGTTAGGATTTTTATGCTGAAAAAAATACACACAAGTTCAGCACTACTTAATAAGTTCAGCAAATGGATTTTCATTTATCAAACACTCAAAACATTTGAGTGTCTAAAAAAGTTCAGATTCAGCACTTTTTATGTTATCAAACAGACCTTTAGGCGCAATTGGTTAAATGCATTAGTCCTAAAGAAAATACAAACCATTTCCATTATCTTGATGGCAGTTTTTCAAGTTTTTCTTGAACACTCCTAGCTTTTTTTCTTTTTTTTTTTGAAGCATTGAACACTCCTAGCTAGCCTTAGGTGATATTCATTGTTTTTCAAAACATTTTAATAATTTATCTACAAGCAATGAACAATTATTTTAGCCACGTGCATGAATGTTTACTTGAAACTAAATAGTTCTCCATGAACTAAATGAGTGACCGAATCTGATGCTTTGAACCAACAAAATAACAAAAATGATGAACTATAGCTCTATTTTTAATGGCATCTTTAGTTAAAAAGATAGTCGAGTTGGGTAAATTGTTACATTGGAAGTATATTCGTGTCTGTATCACCTAATAAGCATTTGTATGCAATATAGTTCAAATATTTTTGCGAATTTCACAGTGAGAATGTTCGCGTCAAACTTGAGTAGTCAATAATGAGTGACTCCGGCTGGTCTAGGTGGGTTTTTATTGGGTAATATGTATAATTAAGTCAACCCATTTAATAAATGGTTCAAAATGAATCAACCCTTTATAATCATTGAAAAAATGGATATGGATTTATTCAATTACCCATGTACGATTCACTTGAAATCTTACTTACGTTTTTTTTTTGCGTGTTGTTTAACAAGAAACAACGACATTTTATTGTTGTTAGATTGATAAGAAATTTAAATTTATTTGCTTAATACTCACTAAAATTTGAGTTTAAATATATAATTATTTTTTAAATGGGTATAAATGGATGAATTGAATCAATTCACTACCCATCAATTAAATGGGTTTAATTGAATACCCACTTAAACCTATTCAAAATTTATTACATACCCAAATCCACTTATTAGGGGATCAACTTGAACGGATCAACATAATTGACTTGTGGTTAATACCTCTGAACTATAATAAGCATTATTCATGCCACAAGTATTTAGCTATCTACCAAAATAAACCCTTGAGACATGAAACTTGTAAAAGACGTAGGTGCACACTTTTTTTTTTAACCACCCAATCTCATCCCTCCTTTCCAAAAGTCATCCATTAACCCAAAAGTCATGAATAAACAATTTTTAAAATGAAAAAACAATAAATAATTTTTTATTGGGTAATATGTATAATTAAGTCAACACATTTAATAAATGGTTCAAAATGAATCAACCCTTTATAATCATTCAAAAAATGGATATGGATTTATTCAATTACCCATGTATGATTCACTTGAAATCTTACTTACGTTTTTTTTTTTTGCGTGTTGTTTAACAAGAAATGACGACTTTTTATTGTTGTTAGATTAATAAGAAATTCAAATTTATTTGCTTAATACTCACTAAAATTTGAGTTTAAATATATAATTATTTTTAAATGAGTATAAATGGATGAGTTGAATCAATTCACTACCCATCAATTAAATGGGTTTAATTGAATACCCATTTAAACCTATTCAAAATTTATTACATATCCAATCCACTTATTAGAGGATCAATTTGAACGGATCAACATAATTGACTTGTGGTTGATACCTCTGAACTATAATAAGCATTATTCATGCCACAAGTATTTAGCTATATACCAAAATAAACCCTTGAGACATGAAACTTGTAAAAGACGTACGTGCACACTTTTTTTTTTAACCACCCAATCCCATCCTTCCCTTCCAAAAGTCATCCATTAACCCAAAAGTCATGAATAAACAATTTTTAAAATGAAAAAACCTTATTATTTATTTAACCATTTAAACTTTTAAAACACTTGTAAACAGTCAATTATTTTAGTTTTTAATAAATTTCCTATTCAACTCACCAAAGTGATAGATATGTGACCATTTTTTCAAATTTTCCATTAGATTTATGCTTTTCCATTTATTTTACTATTATGTATGTGAATTTAAAAAAATTTTATAGTTTCGCATTCATGAATTTCTCATGTTGATATATTGTCAATTTGGATGTTTTGGCCAGCCCTCTTGCAAGTCTGCTTATGAAACAAAAACTCGAAAATCCTTTTTCATTATTCATACAATCTCTGCTCTTTATTGAGTGTTAAATTAAAGGGAAAATTGCAGAAACCTCTCCTGAAACTACTAACACTTGCACTGACCTCCCCTCTAAGTTCAGAAATGGCATACAGCACCCCTGAATAGGAACAATATGTTGCAGAATCAGTCCAGGTAGCTTGATGTCCTATTAAAAAATTATTTGTAGAAGTGAGATAAGAAATTTCTTCCAAATTTGCCCTGATCTTGTTGGACAAGTAGTATTAACAAGGGAGGGACATAGACATTAATCATCAAGTAAATTCAGGGGGTATAAATGCAACATCATGCTTCTAGATGCAGACCTGCAACAACTTCATTTGCTAAGAAACCAACGGCTACTTATCGGCTAAATGTTCAGTTCCTTGCACTAGCTTATAAACGATGGTCAGTCATGCATGAATACCAGGATTACTACAAAATAATGAGCAGCAATTTTCCAACTCAAAACATAGCTTGCTTGATACTCAGTTTGGTAGCTTCAAGTCATATTGCAGTCCCTAGAGAATGGCTTCTTCTAGCCACAGGAGAGCATCATGGAACTCCCCAACATCCTTCACAATACAAAACAAATATTACTAGTGCAATCGAAAGGCAACACTGAAAATTTCTGAGACTGAAAACAACCCCAACAAGTTATATTTTTTTGTGCAAAATGCAAGTACTTCCAGTGGTATGAGGGTCCTGAAGAAGAAGAGGTTAACAGTAGAAATTATGACACCAATTCAGTGCTGCAATCTCAACAACAACTACAAAGGTCTACGGCAATGCAAAGGGAAATGCCAATTGTTCTGACAAGTGCAGCGGCTATAAATGTAGCAATCAACATACTTGTTGTTGTTTATGTTTTCATCCATATTGTGAAGTCAATAGGCTGATGCTATCTAGAAATGTACATTAGCGAATATGAAGATGGAGCTGCAGTTCGAATTGAGGTTGTAAGACACAGGAGAGGAACAAGTTATTCATCATGTATGCAGCAGCATTTGTAGTTTACATTATAAATGCAAGCAGTTAAGTTTATATCTATTGTCATCAGTACAAAATCCACTTCAGCCAACAATACAAAACAAAACAGTCACGAATCATACTTGCATTACAAGACTAATCCATTAATACAACAAGTCTGATCAGAATTGTGATTGAATTACTACAAAAGGGCATCACAACATTCCATTAATACAAAAGCATGACTGAGCAATCCATTTCAGTTCAAAACAACATCTGCTGCATTAAAGGACTTAGAACAGATGGTGAGGATTGCAAAGACATGAGATGCAGAAACATATAAATCTGTAACAGTAGAGTACAAAATATTCTCTTATGTACCTAATTAATGGCATACTACTGAGTTGATACTTTTAGCAGTAAGCATTCACCTCCCAAAACTACAGAGTATGCATCAGAATTGCATACTGAAACTGCTGTTGTTGCTAACATTTGTTGAGTGCAGTGTTGTAGCTGCATTCATTGATTCAAATGCAGCTGTAGCAACTTGACATGTAGCAATTTGCTGAGTAGTATTTGAGTGATCTGAGTTTTTCTCCTGCTGCTCCCTCTAGCAGATACTCCAGTATTGCTTAAAGGCCTTCCTCTCTGCACAATCACAGAGATTGAACATTACACTCAAGCATTTTATTGAAACATGTATAAAATGCAGTCATTCAAATGAACCTTTTTCTTTGAAGTGGTTACTGTGCTCTGAATCTGCACATGCACATTCACAGTTGCAGGTTGACTTGAAAGAGAAGGATTGCTTCCTTAGCTTGAGTGTACAACTGGAACATTGCCAGAGACATGATCCTAATAGTAAACATCGACAAGGCTAAGGCTGTAAATGTTACAATCAGAAGCTTAAATAAAAAAAAAAATCTTACCCAAAGAGTTGCTCCTGATAGGCCTGTGTTTGCAGTCCCTCTTCCTGGTTTGGCTCTTCTATAGCTTTGTTGTTAAGCAATAAGCTAACATTAAGTAATGAATTAAGTATAAAATAATCAGATTCAGTAGCAAATTCAGCACATATAACACCTGTTGGTCAGGAGTTCTGTTGCCATTTTTCTTATTCTAGACAGGTGCTACTTGGCATGACCTCTTGTTATGACTAAAAGAGTCACAGTTTCCACACTTGAACCTGCTCCATCTTTTTGGTTGTGATGTAGACTGTCCTTCATCATGTTCCCTTCTCCTTTTCATCTTTGGTCTACCTGGAGCTCTCCTTAATAGAGGAGCCAAGACTATTGCAGGGGTAACATGTGGCATAGGTGACCACATTTTCTCATCAGGAATTGGATGAATCATACTTGCATATGTCTTTAAGTACATATCTCTTGAGAACCAATGCTCACAGTAGGATTCCAACTTTTGTCTCTTGTAGATAATCTCCAATGCAGCATATTTACAAGGAAGTCCTGAAATTTGAAATGCTCCACAATCATAACTTTTAGCTGGTAAATTGACTATGTAAAACCTATTCATATCCCCCACTTCAAATACGTCATCAAAAGCCATAGTGAGTTCACATTGTCTTGATACTTGTCCTATTCTTTGTAGTTTATCAACCATCTTTGGTGTAATGGCAGTGGTGAGCATGTACCCTTTCTGATATCGCTTATGCATTTTCTTCATGAACTTCTTCCTCAGCCTATCAACTAGTGTCAAGATAGGTTTCCCTCTTAGCTCACCTATCCATGCATTGAAGGACTCAGTGCAGTTATTTGTAATATGATCACATTTTAGTCTAGTATTAAAGGTATATCTGCACCAAGTTGTTTTGGAAATTTTGTCCAAATATTTCCATGCTTCTATGTTTAACTCCTTTATGCTGGCCATGGTTTCATTATGTCCTGTAACATCAAAGCTTTTTGTTGCTCTCCAGAACAAGTTACTAAGCAGAATATCAGAAAATTGAGCTTTAAAATTGCTACAGATATGCCTACAACAATGCCTTCCACTCGCAACAGGCACTATCTCTTCATAAGCTATATTCAAGCCCTGAAGTGAAAACCAAAACATGCAAATAAGTTACACTGATGCCTAATAGAATCAGAATTAAGTACAAAACTATTCCAGAATCTGCAACTGTTGCATACCTTTTGCTTGTCACTCATGAAAGTTAGAGGACCATTTTCTCTAAATGGCCCAAAAAACTCCTCAAAGTAATGAAAAAATCAACTCCATGTTTCTTTATTTTTAGCTTCAACCACAGCAAATGCAATAGGAAAAATGCTATTGTTAGCATCTAAAGTGGCTGCTGTGAGAAACACACCACCAAAGGGACCTTTTAAAAAACATCCATCAAAACCAACAAAAGGTCTACAGCCTTCAACAAATCCACTTCTTTGAGCTTTGAAACTAATAAACATTCTTAGAAATCTAGGTTCAACAAGAAGAGTAGGCCTATCATAATGTATTTTGCAGATACTTTGTAGATTGTATTTCTTGATGAGTTCTGCATACTTTGGCAATTTGGTTTATGATTCACTGTGATTGCCTTCAATCTCATTTCTTGCTTTAGTTAGTGCTCTATACATCTGCCATTTGCTTGGATGCACACCATATTGAATCATTTCTACTTCTACCCCTTTGGTAGACATGTTAGGGTGAATTCTCATGACTGAAACTAGTTTTTGGCAATCCAATCAGCTGTAGCTTCTGTGTTCTTCTTATCCATCACACATGTGTGTTCACCTTGATAAGTTTTAATCATAAAGGTTATGGAATCTGCAACTGGTGATGCATGAATTCTCCATTTGCATCCTTCAACACCACAAATAGCAATGACTTTGCTCTTCTCATTCTTCAGTCTCATAATTGGAAATCCTTTCTGAATTACATAGTCCTTTAAAACTGCTCTAAATGCATCGATATTAGTAAACAGTAGACCTTTCTTAAACACTATATCTGCTTTTGGGTTGTACGTCCACATTTTTTATTTCAAAGCTTGCTGAACAGGGTCAGTTTCTTCTTCATTTTCAGAATCAGGAACTATATCGCCCTCCTCATTGTCATCAAAATCAGAAAAGGACATGTCAATTTGATCACTACCTGCCACAGAGGCACTATCAACATCTATGTCCTTCTCATTGTCACTATCCATGCTGTGCAGCCAGCTTGAATCAGAGCTAGAATCACTACATTCACCCTCAGAATCATCAATGGCAACAACAGATACATTGTCCTTTCCTTTTTCTCCTAAGTTCAAATCAGTGTTATGACCATTTTCATTCATCTGATTGGTTTTATCAGATGGAATAACATCCATATCCAGCACATGCACATTAATCACCATAACTGACTTATGCATTGAGAACATTTCACTAACACTATCATCATCTGTAATATCAAACATGCGATCTGTCTTAGGAATCTGGCACCTCATGTGTATTAACTTATTCAGATGCCCAGGGACTTCACTGAACACCTTCTTAGCAACATCAAACAACAAATTAATGAAACAGTAACCAATTGGATCGACATTTGGAATTCTCACTTGTTTCTCCTCATAGTGGACAGCTATGTCATAAGCAGGAAGAAGATCCATCCTAAGTTTCAAAAGTAACAGTTACTGAGCAAAGAGGAAATCACAACAACAGACAATTGTATCTAGTTTGGACACTTATATTTACACTGATGATCAGTCATCAGTGAGACTATTGTTGCATGCACCATGTTTATACAAGTCTTAAAAATCAAAAAATAGAACATGATACATCATCCATTGATAAACATGTCTAAAACAACTAAAATAGTAGAGCAACAAGTCTTAAAGTGCAGGCATAGTACAGCAGCAAGTCTGAAAACAAGTACAATATCATCACATTTGGCATTGATCATTATTGACAATAACATCACATTTGTTTCTGATCATTACTAACACATTCAACTCATGATGCAAGAGCAAACATGCATTCACTGTAGCCAGGTATTGCCTTAGTATCATACAAGAGCTAACGTGCAAATTTTGTGCCTTCAAGTGACAACATCAGAAATTATTTACCTACTCAACTTCAGTTCTTACAAATTAACTGCAGTAGATGCTCAGAATTGGTTCCTAGTTCACGGTCACATATGTTGTTTATCTCTCACGGATCATAAACCTCCCATCAACTAAGCAAAAGTTCCAAATTTCTTCTCTTATGTTTCCTTCTCTCAATGGTCAGAATTTTATCAGTAAGTCACACTCTCTTATGCTGCAAGTAGGCAACTTGTCACCTCAAGAGCAACTTGTCACAAATTGGCGCCAATTCATGGCACCATCTTCCTCAGCAATTGGCACCCTGTGGTTGCCTCTACAACTAGTCTCAAACAATAACTAAACTCTGAATCAGAGCTGGACGGACAGACAGCAGCTTTAGTTAGTTAGTTAATTAGTTAATTAGTTTAACATGCAAATAGTTTGTTTAGTTTCAGACAGACAACAACTTTAGTTAATTAGTTTAACTATGCAAAAATAGTTTGTTTAGTTTAATTCGTTTAAGAAAGGATTTGTTGGTTTTGATGAAAGTAATTAAACCTTTCATCTGGTAAAGTTAAATTCAATTGGGGTACTCTAGTAAATTCACACACTTTTACCTTTTAAATTAGTTTCAACTTTTTTTAGGAGAGGTCAATGCTATTTCAAAATTGATAGGGGAGGTCAATGATAGTAGTAGAAACCTCAGGGGAGGTTTCTGCAATTATCCCTAAATTAAAAGTAAGCAAGCTATTCTTATCAAATTAAAAGTAGCCTCTGATTCAAAGTAAACAAGCTATTCTTAATTAACTAGAAAGATATTATGAAGAAAATCATTAGTTGTCCTAGCAACACTGCCAATGCTATAGCTTCACACGCGCCAAATTCTGGCATCAAAGGTGCAGGACACAGGATGACAAGAAATAACTCGGTCAAATCCAGTTGCAGCACAGAACTCCAGAACTAGCATCTTCACGTGATATACTACAATTTTAATAGAAAAATAGAGAAAAAAAAGAAAAAGAAAAAGCTAGAAATTATTATTATTTTTTTGTCTGCTCAGGGGGTATCCGAGCTTCGCGTATGTCGAACCCGACTAATTCCCATGAGACCCTAGAGGAGAGGCCCCATCCCCTCGAACCGGTAACCACTGGGACTCGATCCCTGATGGGGGAGAATGGACAACGGGTTCTAAGGAGGCTCTCGTGACCAACTGAGCTACCCAAGAGGGGCTAGAAATTACACGAGTATATTCATTTGGCATGTTGTTTACATCAGGATTACCTAAACTCGCATGCTGCAAATTGCAAATGTTCATGAAAAATCCGATCTTGAACATGGTCCATACAAATTTTGTATCTGTACCTTAATCATGATACAATGTTAGTATCTTTTATAATGTACAAGTATAAATGCACATTGTGTAATCATTTGAATTTAATGAATACAGAACCAAGTGTCCATGACATGATTTTCTGATGATGCATTGGAAATAGTTCAGTGATCCTTTCCGGTGGCAAGGATTTCCAGTAACAATTTGAATATGAAATGGACCCATTTTTTACCAGTAAGCTATAATAGAGCATCCAATAGCTTAGTGGTAATTTCTTTAATTATCACCCGTTGTGAAAGATTTTAAGGCTTTCAGCCCACGAACTACAAGGCTTTCAACCCACATGAGTTTTTGACAGTCTCAATCTGCACCAAAATATGAAAGTCAAGATGAAATTAGTGCAGAAAATTGCAGAATTCAGATACCCGTGGTCGGAGCAAAATTTAGCAATCAGCAAGCCAAGATGGAAAGCAATAAGTCCGCTGGTCATACTAATTTAGAAAAAAAGGCTCTATATAATATTTTACACATAAGAAGATGCCATCAATACTAGGTTGCAAGATAATTTAGTTAGATGCTTCAAACAGGGAAAAACTAGGAATCTACTGAAATGGTTCAAGTAACCTAGAGATTCAGGCATTGAAAGCTAAAACAGAGCCAACTGCATTGCAAAAGCAATACTGAAGTTATGCAGCATTTTCACTTGAATGCTTGTTTCAAACCTCATCAAAGTCCAGGAGGTAGGCACTTAGGATCGAGTTCAAAAGTACCATTAGGGACACCAACCCTCTCATTGCAGGTCATCTTTGCAGGAGGCACTCTGTGAGAGAACCTAAAGTGGCTGTTAGGCCTTATCAGAACTGATTCATTCTTGCTTCTCCTCTGAAATGAACTCACATAGCCATGCAATTTTTCCAAGTAAGCAACTCGAAATCCACCCTCATACGAAAGAATCTCCACAATTTCATACTTCCACTTTCCATGGTTTTCTGGATGAGAGCTCCACATGGCAATATCCCAGTCCATATAAACAGCCCAAATCTCTCCTTTTCTTGGTCTTATGAAGTACTTCTTGCATTGCTTTGGTTTCGTACACCACACTTGATGAGAGAAAGCATTGGGGTATAAGATTCTTCTGTTCCGACGTTTAAAGAATCCACAACCAACTGGTAAGCCCGCATCTATCCACTTCTTCTCACATCTTGAGCGTGGAACTGGCTGAAGCCACGCAATTTGCAACCTGAAATTTCTATCAGCTTTGAGAACCTTTGTGATCCTGGCGTATGATCTTGGCAAGCTATCTTTTCCGTCAAAGCAAGCCCATGTTTGCCCAACTTCTAAGCTGTTTTCAAGTCTATTCCCCTTCTTCTTCTCAATATTAGTTAACAATGAATGTGCTTTAGCAATAGAATTTGACACTGCAACCTCCCCTGAATCTGAATTAAGTTCCATATCATCAAGATTAACCTGAATTTTATCATTCTCATCTGAACTACTAGGCCGATAACTAGATCCTGATTCTGAACTTTCAGTGGAATCTAAATCTAACCTAAAAAGATCACCAGGGTCCTCAACTCGTTCAGCATCTTTTTCAGCTTTGCAAGTTCGTTTGGAACTGTTGCTGCATTCTCCTCCCATGTCCAAGCTTTGTGCATCATCATCATTCTTTTTGCTAGGTTCCACCATTGATGAATTCCAACACCTTTTCCTGCTTTCAGCTCTCACTTCTGCAGAGTCCACTGGATTGACTGAATCGGGTTCTTTGGAACACTGTTTCTGGGATTTTTGTATGGTCACAAGCTCTCTCTTTTGATGATTAAGTTCCACAGTTAACTCCAAAATCTTCTCCCTTACTCCAAGTTCCTTTTCAAGCTCCACCAACTTTTTCTCCTTTAAATCAAGCTCATTGGCCCTTACCTCCATTTGATTCTGAATCAAATCCATTTCTTTAATCAGGCACTCAACTTGCTGCTCTTTTAAACAAATTTCACTGAGCTTTTCATCAACAGTGTTCCCAAATTGCTTTTCCTTCTCTTCCATTTCCTGCAGAATCCCTTTTACCAAGTTCTCTTTTTCTTCCACTTTCTTCAACCTCTCCTCTATCCATTTTCTCCTTGAAACAAATTCTTGAAAGTTTTTCCCACCTGATTCTTGGGCTGACTTCAAGAGCTTCTCTCTGGACTGAAGCTCAGTGAAGCTTTCACTGAAAGAACTCTTTAACAGCTTCAGGTACTCGTCAACATCTTTGCACTGAAGCATCACCAAGCCCATTAAAGTTTGGAGGCTCTTCCGTTTCTCTTCATTGAGCTCCAGAGCATCAGATATCCTCTCCAAGGGATCCATAGTTTATTGTGAAAGCAATCCTCAGTTTCCTTTAGATTTTTCAAGTAATAGTACTAAAGATTCACGGGCGAGTTTTGAGAATCTGATTCTTGCACTAGTGTTTCTGCAGGTCTGGCTGCCAATAGGGATAATTTCAGAAACCTCTACGGTAGTTTCTAACACTTTCACTAACCTCCTTGAGGTTTTGAAAATTACACTAACTTCCCTTGAACTTAAGATTTTGGTGACAAAATCAGTCAAACTCAGAAAAAGTACTATAAAAATGTATTTTGAGGAGTGAGATGACATTTGTTTCACA